GAGGGGGGCTGGGTGGCCAGGACCACGCCCGGCCGCCTTTGTCTCCCGAGTGGCGATGTTTACGACACCGCACCAAGTCTTGAAGGCTGAGTCGACCTAGTGGAGGACCAGGACCGGTTCAGATAATGATCTGAGCACACGGGGACGGACACCCATCGCGGAGCGGGGCGAGTCGGTGTCTGTGCGGGCGAGTGGCCCCCACCCCCCCAACTCGCGTCACGGCGGAGATGACGCCTCGGGGGGGGGGGCAGCTCCTCGAGCCCACGGGCAGCCCGAAGGCGGTGAGGGCAGAAGGGCGGGGCGGGGGGGGCGGGGCAGGGGGCCTCCCAGCGCTGCTCCGTGAGAGCGAGAGGCGTAGGTGGGGAGAGCGCAGAGAGAGAGACAGAGAGAGAGACAGGGGTGGAGGCTGCACACACACAGATAGGGAGAGAGAGGGGGGTTAGAAACTGCACACAGAGGGGGGTGTGGGGGCTGCACACAGAGAGAGACGGGGGGTGGAGGCTGCACACAGAGACAGGGGGGTGTAGAAGCTGCACACAGAGGAGGAGAGGGGGGCTGCACACAGAGGGGGGGGGGGGGTGTGGGGGCTGCACACAGAGGGGGGGGGGGTGTGGGGGCTGCACACAGAGAGGGGGGGGTGTGGGGGCTGCACACAGAGGGGGGGGGGTGTGGGGGCTGCACACAGAGAGGGGGGGGGGGTGTGGGGGCTGCGCGCGCGTGATCCGAGTTCTCGCCGTGCCGGTATTTCATTAACGCCACCATCACCACCGTCATTTCGTGCACATTTACGTGATGTATCGTTGAGTCATGAATTGCAGTTAAGAATTATATTTGTAAGCGAATGCATTACTATGTTATTGTTTTGTGTCAACTGCAGATGTTTGTGTGTGTGTGTAATAGGCACTTGCCCCAAAACTATGTGAAGGCAATACGGGGGAGCTTTGTCTTTGTGTTATTGTGTGTGTGCCTTTGTCATACATCATACTATTGTTTTAATACGGGATGTACATTCTCAACAATCCCCGCGGTATCTTGCGTAGCGACAGTGACCTTGTGCTGAGCACGCTGCGTGTTGAGCACGCTGCGTGTTGAGCACGCTGCGTGTTTACTCAGCGTGTCCCCGTGAATCTTGTAAGCGCGTAACTCATCAGGCATGCACACTGTGGCAGCCATGAAAGTGCGTTTGTGATGCCAGTTGAATGATTGGCAGCAATTGCCCTGTTGTGTAATCCAGCACTTGCCGTGATTACACAAAATCATTATCCCTGGATCTTCGACTGCTTTAGATGTTGAACTTCTTTCGCACCGTACGTAGCCAGCCGTGCTGAATGGAGGTGCGCGATGTCTAATGGTCTTGCGTGTGTCCCTCTCTCTCTCTCTCACACACAACACGTAACCAGTCATCACCAGCGTCAAACCCATCCCACACGTGACACGAGACTGGCCTTGTAATGATGGCAAAGTGGGCACGCATATCCTCTGACCGGAGCAGGGGGCATCTCACTATTCACGAGCCCAGTTTGTGAAGAGCTTTAGCAGCTAAGCACCTCTCGGTGTGTGTGCTATTGAGAGCGTGCTGAGTTACAAACCTGGCCACCTGGATCTGGGCCTCCCCTAGGTCTACTCAGCCTTAAACGAGTACCTGGTGCGATGTGTAAACACCTCCACTGGGGACACAAAGGCGGCCGGGCGTGGTGTTGGCCACCCACCCCTTCGTGTCCCTTGTCTGTTAAGGCCATGCGGAGGGATCTTTGTCTTTGTACGTGCGCGCGTGTGTGTGTGTGCTTTGTGTTTCTGCTCGAATGAGTGTGAACTATATTAATTGGTCTGGCAGGCGGTCTTGACATATTGTGTTGAGTATCCACGTATCGGTAGACTCCGTGCATGCCCACAACATGCCTAATAGGTAACGTATTCTGTCAGAAAACTGGCATTCGGTTGCTGATGCTCGTGTGAGCACGATGTTGCACCCACCACACACACCACGCACACACACCACACACACCATGCACACACACCACACACACCACACACACCACACACACCACATACACACACCACATACACACACCACTCGCACACACCACGCACACACACCACATACACACATACACCACGCACACACCACATACACACACCCCTCGCACACACACCCCTCGCACGCACACACCACATACACCACATACACCACCCTCGCACCACTCACATCTCACACCACTCACACATCTCACACCACTCACACCACTCACACACACCACACATACACATGTTCGTATACATAAACATCCCACGTAGAGCCTGCATGCACTTTTGGGGCAAGTTCTTCAAGCGAGCCCCTATGAAGGCCGGCACTGTGGCACACGAGGGGGTGGGTGGCCAGCACCACGCCCGGCCGCCTTTGTCTCCCCAACGATGACTCTTGCACACCGCACCAGGCACTCATTTAAGGCCGAGTTGACTTGGGGTAATCCGGAACCAGTCGACACACTCGTCACCGATGTTCGGTGTGAGTGGGAATCGAACTGGGGTCGCCGGGTTCGTAGCCGCCGTGCGCTAACCACTGCACCACCGCTCCCCGTGTGTAAGCTAAACAGACACTTTATGACAGCTTGTAAAGCAGCAGCAGCAGGCGATATAGTTTATGGATGCCGTGTGTTTGTCCAACACTGCAACAACACGAACTACCGGATGAGTCGGTATCGCTCCAATTGAGCATCAGCCCCCACGCCCATGGACGTGTCCGTGTCTGCCTTTACCAGCCGCTTGCACTTTCAGCGATTTAACGAATTGTCATAATTATCTTATCGTCACTTCCTCCTCGACATCAGCCTCAGGGCCATTGCCTTCATTTAAGCTGCGGTGTCGGTTTCACGTTCACCGGAGGGGGAATAGAAAGTGCTGCACTGCAAGACGAACGGTGATTGTCACTGGAGTTCTCAGTGGTTAGCGCGGCGCGCTGAGAATGTCCAAAATCACGAGCAAACACAAGACCCAGGCTCGATGTAACACAGTACATACAATTCGTGATCTGATCCCATCTGTGAAGGATAGAATCCCTGACATGCAATACCGCGGCGTCTACAAACTAAGTTGTGTCTGTGGCAGTAGCTACATTGGGGAAACTAAGCGGCATGTCTCGGACCGTGTTCGTGAACACAAGGCAGATCTGAAACACGGTAGGACCAATACCTCGGCCGTGGCTGATCATTGTTTTAATACAGCTGGCTCACACGAAATTGATTTCTCAAAGACAAAGGTACTTTGTAAGCCCGCTGGCTATCAACAAACATTCGTTCATGAAGCCATCCATATATACCGAGAGGATGGGGACAAACTCAGCAATCATTGGAAGCACGTCATCAACCAGTTTAAGTTATAACTGGCTGTGAGGTTTCCATCTTGTCACTTTCCGATGTTAGTTTTATTTTTACTAAAGATGGGACAAGCAATTCCATGTCTTGCGGTGTCGCCCCCTGCATTGGGCGTACCAAAAGTTGTTAAGTTCTCCAGGACTCGTAAGATCTTTAACCAACACTTCAGCCGTGGCGGCTGCTCTCCGATTCTACATGAACATGTTAATGTCTCACATTAACATGTTAATGTCTCACATTAACATGTTAATGTCCCACATGAACATGTTAATGTCTCACATTAACATGTTAATGTCTCACATTAACATGTTAATGTCCCACATGAACATGTTCATGTCTCACATGAACATGTTAATGTCTCACATTAACATGTTAATGAACATGTTCATGTCTCACATTAACATGTTAATGTCTCACATGAACATGTTCATGTCTCACATGAACATGTTAATGTCTCACATGAACATGTTAATGTCTCACATGAACATGTTCATGTCTCACATGAACATGTTCATGTCTCACATGAACATGTTCATGTCTCACATGAACATGTTCATGTCTCACATGAACATGTTCATGTCTCACATGAACATGTTAATGTCTCACCTAACATGTTAATGTTTCACATGAACATGTTAATGTCTCACATGAGCATGTTAATGTCTCACATGAACATGTTCATGTCTCACATGAACATGTTAATGTCTCACATGAACATGTTAATGTCTCACATGAAACATGTTAATGTCTCACATGAACATGTTAATGTCTCACATGAACATGTTCATGTCTCACATGAACATGTTAATGTCTCACATGCACATATTCATGTCTCATATGAACATGTAAATGTCTCACATGAACATATTAATGTCTCACATGAACATATTAATGTCTCACATGAACATGTTAATGTCTCACATGAACATGTTCATGTCTCACATGAACATGTTAATGTCTCACATGAACATATTAATGTCTCACATGAACATGTTAATGTCTCACATGAACATGTTAATGTCTCACATTAACATAACCACCTCCGCTCACTAGCCCCGCCCACTGCGTTCTGACACTTGGGCTATACACATTTTAAACCTTTAAAAGTAGCTTTCCCGCTTTTTCCTCCTGATGACGATCGCTTGTGTTGCGATCGAAATGTCGAAGTTTTTGTTTATTTATTATTTTGAACCTATCTCCGCGACTTTACCGAAAGACCCAAAGAATACAGTAATATATACACACACGGTAGCTCGCATCAGCTGGTCTGCAGCTGTGAACACGGTGATACAGCCACTCTCAACGTGAAGTCGCTCACGTGGATAGTGATACGAGGGTTGGTTGAAGGTAACCGGCAAACCGGTAACCGTTTTCACACTCCACGATTTACCGGTTCGGAGAGCCAGGAAGCGGTGACCGTGTCTGGAGGGAGGCGTGTGGCGCGCGCACCGACTGCGCCGGACGCACGGCGCGGCGGGCTGTTTGTCCTCGTGCCTCGGTGGGAAACGCGCGCGAGCTGTTACGGTTATTGTGCCATTAAGAAGGAGCATTGCCCGAAACGTCACCCAGTACAGATGTTTCCTTAGAAGGCCATATTGAGTTGTGTTGTTGTTGTTGTTCTGGTTATTGCGAAACACTGCCACGTGTGCTGCAAACCGGTAACCGCTGTTGTCTTTACCGGTTTTTTGTCTGGGGTGGGGGAAGGAAGGAAGCTCGCTTGCTGCCAGCGGTGACTACGATGGGGCTCTCTATTCTGGTGCACGTCTACAAGACAGACATCTCTCTCTCTGTCCGTCTCTCTCTCTCGGTCTCGGAATACCGCGGTCGTCGAGATAACCGGAGCGACTTCCACTTGACGCTGGCGTCGTCGAACAATGTCGCTCTGTGTCCAGCCGCGCGCTTCGACTGCACGCTCACGCAGGATGTCGGCGTTCGCTCGCCATGTCACACGTGTGTGTGTGTATGTACTTGACTTGGTAGCAGTGCTTATCCAGAAAAACAACAACCGTATCACTTTTCAGTAGGATGATCCTGTATTAGGATATTTGACCAATCCCATGTTTGTGTGCGTTCAGTGTTGGGAGGCAAACCACAGTGCCTGGTGGTACCCGCAGATACCAAAGTCGTGGCTATGCCCAGCTATGTGTCAGCTTCGGTCCTCGTAGGTCAGTAGCCGACTTTGTGTCCCGTCTGCTAGAGGCAACATCTTGTGAGTCAATGAACTGTGGATAATCTACCGATCCCACCCCCAAAGTGCTGGACTTTATTCACGCACATCCAGACAATAAAGTATATAATTATGCTTTGGAATTACCCTAGATTACACAGTTATTACAATAAAGCGTAAGAAATATAATAGACTAAGGAAGAAAATGCATTAATGTACATATTCAGTTTGACGTCCTGTCCCCGGGGTCTACATTTCGCCAACACAGAGCGAATTGATGGCACATGGTGGTGTTGTGGCACGTGGTGGTATTGTGGCACGCGTGTGGAGGCCGATGTGGTGTGATGGTTTGGTTTAGAAGCCTTCCCTATGGCATGACGGCACAGCGGAGGACTTCCCGTGAATGTGTTTCTTTCTTTATCAGAGTAAGACTATTTATTTATACTGGCAGACGTTGTGAAACAATCGCGCGCTTGCACTTTCGGTCGGGATGAATGCGTGACCCGTGTCTTCGTACCAAACCCTGCGCACACAGCTGGCGTCAACGTTGCGTGGAGCTCGGGACAAACATCGACTCGCAACACACATTGCCTTTTGTTACACTACTTTAACAAAATACCAAGCCTCCCAGAGCAATGGGGTGGCACTCATCTCTGTTGGTTGCTCTGAGCCAGCGATGGAAATTCCACATTTACACGGCAGGAGCGAGTGTCACATAGGACAATTTTTATTTACAGAAAAGTGTGACTCACTTTGTACTTGGACATCAAGGTCAAAGTCACGAGCTTGGAGGTGGCTGGATAGCTTAGAGGTCGTCACAGCCCTGAGCCAGAACTATTGGAATCCTGGGTTTGAATCCAGGCAGATGCCCATCATTACATCCGGTTTCCAGTGCAGTAAGCTGCTGGTCTCAGCCAAATCACCAATGACTTTACAAAACAATTCTGGATAAATCATTGGCATTACAATAAAATTAGCTTTTCATTTTCTCATTTGCATCTCTTAAAAAATGTAATATTATTTTTTAAGTGTAATGAGAAAACACACCAATCTCATAGCAGAGTGTGAGTGAAAGTGTGCCCCGTACTGTTCAGAGATAAAACGGCGACTTGAAGGGTTTTCCAGAAGAGTTTGCGTGAACAATCTCTTGCACAGACGCTGTAAGACACGTGGGGTACCCACTGCTGTGAGAGGTCTACAGTTTGGGTCTCCGTCTCGTGATGTTGACGCCAATAGCCCGCCGAGAATGAACTGGGAAAGAAGACCTATAAAATATATTTTAAAAATTATGAACTTGTCTGCAAGGCAGTTTAAAGCTGTTGCCAAGTTTAGTCTTAAACCACCCACACCCAGTGTAATTAGAGACCCACCGCAGTCGGTTGTCATCGCACAGCCACACGGAACGGGCGAGGCCTGTGCCGAGCGAGTGTGGGCATGAGCCCAGCCAGGGGTGGCTTCTGCCTCCCGTTTGTGGAGACGGTGAAATCTCTCTCGGGTGTCCAGCTTCTCGCATTTCTTTGTTGAACTTCTTTCACGTCGCACGTAGCCAACCGTGCTCATCAGAAGTGCGGGGAGAAAGAAAACAAGCGAAACACTAAAAGCAGTTCTACATAAATGAGTTTTAAATCTAGATGGTGATTTACAAGTGCAAAGCTCCAGTGGCTTCCTCGTATTGGAAGGAAGAGCGTTCCAGACGGTCGCAGAGAAGCACCTGAAAGCGGCGACCGTCTTTGTGCACCGTGGTCGCGTAGAACCCGACGCTCGCGGGAACTCGTGCCAAGCCGGACGAGTGAGCGGGGAGCTCGGAGAGCGCGAACCTCCCGACCAGCGGCCCCCGGGCTGGGTGGACGTGCCGGGAGTGACCCTGGGGAGCGGCGAGCGCCAGGAAGGGGAAGCGGAGGAGCGAGGCGACGCGGAGCCGATGGAGGTGGACGCGATGCTGTCCGAGCCGGACTACGGGGACGAAACCCCGGGCCTCATCAAGCCCAAGAAGCTGATTAACCCCGTGAAGGAGTCTCGTCGGCACCAGGACATGCACCGGGAGCTGCTCATGAAGAATAAGCGGTGAGCACCTCCGTGTGACTTTGTTTCCGACTGTGTCCGTGCGTGTCCCCGTGCGTGTCCCCGTGTGTGTCCGTGTGACTATGTCCGTGTGTCTCTGTGTGCGACTGCGTGTCCGTGTAGGGGCCAGGGTCTGCAGCCCAAGCCTGAGCTGCTGCGTGTGCTCGACCAGCGCAAGTGGGAGCAGCGCGTGGGGCGCCAGCGGCACCACCTCCACCATGACGAGGAGCCGGAGCCCAACGCCGCCCTGCAGCAGGAGCTGCTCAAGCGCTTCCAGCGCCTCGAGCAGGTGCCCAGCTCCCCCCGCTCTCCCCACTCACCCCGCTCCTCCCTAGCTCTCTCCCAGCTCCCCCCACTCGCTCCTCGTACTCCCCCAGCTCTCCCAGCTACCCAGCTCCCCCGCTCCCCCACTCACCCCCCTGTCCCAGCTCCCCCCGCTCCTCCCACTCTCCCCTCTCCTCCCCCTCTCCTCGTTCCCCCCCAGCTCCCGCTCTCCCCACTCTCACCGCCACGCTCGAACGCTCGTGCCGGGTCTATGCCCGTCAATCATTGACGTGCTAGGGAATCTGTATATTGTAGATCGTAGCTGTACCCCGGTCAAAGATTTACCAAAGTAAAATGGCGTACAAGGAGCGAGGAGTGGTGGAGCAGGGGTTAACACACTGCGCCATTAACGCAGTGATCGTAGTTCCATTCCCACCGACGGCTGACATCGGTGGCGGGCGATGTCCACCACCAACCCGCACCGACCCCAGTCGAGTGGAATGTGGCCAAACGTCCTCCACGACCAGCACGGCTTGCCCCCCCCCCCCCAGAGTCCTCCATCCAGCAGCGGGCTGCAATGTGCTTCTTGCTCGATTGCGATCGGCGCAGATCGAGCGTGCACTGGGACGCGGCCCCTTTGCGGGGCTCCGCCTCATTAGTGCTCCGGTTCGATGCTGGGGGAGCGCAAACCACGTCCGTGCTGCCCGCCTCGAGCCACCAGGAGTACTCCACAGCCCACATCCCGGTCGGGGCCAGAGGGTGGTCGGGATTGACTCGGCCATCCATCCCTCCACGGTCGATAGCGAGTACCGCTCGGAGAGATGGATTGCACTGGCCATAGGAATGTGGAATCCACCGCGTGAGCCGTCTGTGAGCGTGGAGCGCGGTGCGGAGCGTGGTGCGTGGCCAACGGAGGGCTTCGTCTTGTTTGTCCCACGGCTGCGGGTGGTGCCGTGCCGTGCCGCAGCTGGACCGCGAACTCGAGTTCCCCGGCCCGGGGGGGGAGCAGCCGGGCGGCGGTTCCGGCGGAGCGACCATCCCCGAGTTCATCCGCGTGCGCGACAACTTGCGCCGCACGCGCATCGTCACCATGGAGACGGAGCAGGGCACGGCATGACGCCCGCGGGAGGGGGGGGGGGGCACCAGCGTCCACGACGACGAGGTCAACTGTGACGATCTCGGGCCTCGGGTCGGCACGGAGAAGGGGGAGAACCACCCTGACGAGCGGAGCTCCCGTGCCGGAACCCGGCGAGGGTGGACTCGGACATGGCACGGTGAACAGAGCCGATGTTACGCACATACACACTGCGAGTGTCCTCTACACTGAATGTATATATGCGTGTGTGTGTATATGTGTATGTGTGTTTGTGTCTTTGTGTCTGCGTGAGAGAGATTGTAGAGTTTCCCATACCTGGGCAGTGTGCTTATGACCGGCTCCAGTTTAACAGCAGAGGTCTCACTCCGAATCAGTCGAGCGGCAGTATCTTTTCATCGGTTGCGTAACGCTGTGTGGAAGCTACCTGGTCTGTCGCTCCGCACGAAGCTTCAGGTTTTCTCGGCAATAGTCATTCCCTCCCTTCTCTACGCTTGCGAAACGTGGACCCCCCTAATGGAGCATCTTCGCCGGTTGGAAACATTTAGGCTGGCCTGCCTACGATCCATCCACGATCGATAACGAGTACCGCTCGACGAGATGGATTGCACTGGCCATAGGAATGTGGAATCCACCGCGTGAGCCGTGGATGTTAGCCACGGCCAGGAATCTCACTCGGCCCTGGCTGAGCGGTGGGTGATATCCATTGGTGAGATTGAGAACGGTGGCGATTCGTGTTCATTTATTGTAATACATATACAGAGCTGGCCAGGTCACATTCTATGTGACGCTCAGTTGGAAACATGGAAGTTGAAATCCAAATGTGGAAAATGACTTTCATCCCGTCGTCCTTTGGGGTCATTAAAATTAGAACCAAATTGCGGGACGTGAATGATCGTTGTGCTTTGGAGTGACTATGCACGGACATGGGAATGTGGAATTCCTATCCCTGGGGCAGGACCATGAATGTTTGCGAGTGCTGCCCAACGCTTGTTTGAATGGTGTGACTGTTGTGAATGTTACAAAATCCGTGTTTTGTCAGCATTTCATTATACACTGTACAGTTTCCACTTTTGTGGAATGTGTTGTATGTCAAGGACTGCAATTAATGTGCACAATTCTCTGTTCACTGTGCACACTCCATGGCTGTCAAGGGAAAGTGCCGATTGTTGAAGTGCAAACAATTGACATTTTAGCAAGGAAAAATGTGTTTTACATCGACTTCATATATACACAGAGTATATACAGTGTGTCCATAGAGGTGTCATCTGTTCATAAATCTTTATTGACGGCAGTTGTTACCTTGCTCAGCAAAACGAGCCACACGCACGCGTGGTCGCGCGAGGATGTTCACCGTACGAATCTCGTCCCGCTCGTCCTCCTCGTGGCGTTGGCCTCACATCCACGTCGGAGGGCGGCCCAGGCGCTTGCCGCAACGCTTCTCTGCTGTCACGCGCCGCCGAAGGTCACTCAGCCTCTTGGTAAACACACTGCCGACGGTCAAATGTTCCCCGATTTAAAGTCGGGTCACGGTGACTTACTGCTCAAATGAGTTGATGCTCCCCTCCAGTTTACAGCCCAGAGGCAGTGGTGGAAATTTCACATTCCTATGGCTGGGGCGTGTATCTTCTAGGTCAACCACGGTTGACTTCTCCACAAAGTGGTCGTCGCGTCGTCGGCACGATGGGCTGAGTCGACTCCCAACCAGGGTCTGAACTCTGGTTGCGAGCCACTCGCTCTAACGCTGAGCCACCTGGCTCTAAATCTGAGCCACCTGGCTCAATTCTTTAATAAAGGATGATAGTTTAATGGACACGCTGTATAATGTACGCATACTGTATGATGATACACGTACTGTATAGAGTTACTCGTAAAAACCATTGCAAAGTAAGCATCGTGGAGCAGGAAAGCTATTACGGTGGCCGGCGCATTGTTGACAAGTGCAATGTGCCGGTCATTCATGTGCATCGGAAACATCTGACGACCCATTGCGAGAATACTGACGTTGTGAACTGCAGAGAAGAAACATCTCAAATGCAAGTGGCGATGTGGGCTGCTACAAAAAAATTGGCCATGGATCTGCAAGACCAGCTAACTTTGAATGCCATACCAAGTGTACGGATTTGAATGTTATTGACCCAAAGAAGATCTCAAGTTTGTGTGTCCAAGATGCTGCCAGTGCATGCGGTGAAGAGGTCTGGCGGCAGGACGGGTCCTGACGGATCGGTGGGGTGCGGACTTGAATGTGAGACACTGGGAACGAGAGACGTCGCTGTAAAATCAAGAAGTTCGCTCGCCCTGCGGTGAGAACGATTCTGTATTAAAGACAAAACGGCCTTATTTAAGACGCCAGACATTTATGCGTGTGCGATGCTATTTAAAGCATTTCTGAAAACCTTTTAAATCCTGGATATGAAGGGAATTTCACTTGGACTACAGTTGCTTCACACTGCCAAGGTTTACGTTTAATCAACCCAGCGGCGATGGTATTACCAATGCCCAGCCGTCTAAGATCTGACCGTTTATTTCGATGCATTGTAGACAATCGATGATTTTTGTTCTCAACCGGGGAGGAATGCTGCTCTGAGGCTGACAATGTTGAGTCTGATGCGAGTGCCCTGCGTGTGGGTGTGGAGACGCTTCGTTTTGACCGCAGATTTGCGGGGCTCTGCCTCGCACAGATCGCCAGTGATGGCACAGTCATGATTGGTGGAACAATGACCCCAAAGCTCTCTTACCGCTGGATAAATGTTACATTGAGCGATCAATTAACGGGCAGCTTCTTTCCAAGCCTCGTGTCGAGCCCCCTTTAAACAATCCACGGGAATGTGTTTTCGTAAGTAACTGCACTGCTCATCGTGCTGCGTAAATGTTGAATATCGCTAAAATGTTGCACAAGTGCTCATACAAGGCGACTTGTTGCTGCCGTTCGGTCGCCGTGCCCACGCGTGGTCTGAACGTAGCAGTGGTCTGAACGTTCGCGCGAACGCGTTTGAGCAAAAGTTGCCGGGTGGCAGCGCTGACCTCGCAGTCTGCGAGTTCAAGTCCCGGTCGGGGATCGGCTGGGCCCTCCTCTGTCCCCTTGTGGGGAGGTCGACGGCGATCGTCCTCGTCATAGGAGTGTGGAATTTCAAAAAACTGGTTTAAGACCATCAGTAGAGGCGATCGCTTCCTTTGCTCGTTAAAGTGTAGACGCAGCTCGGACCTCACGAAATGTCGGTATCGGTTGTGAAGGAATTCACGGTGTGGTGACGGCTCGTTGACAAGACACCCAGTTCGCAGGTACCGGCGTTTAATGTCTCTCTCTCTTTCCGTGCGGTGTCCTTTGCTTTAATAGCAGGCGAGGGCAGGCACACGGCCAACGGAATGAAAGGGATTAAGGTTTAAAATTACTCTTGATTTGAGCGATAATGGGTTATTGTTCGTGCGGTTACATCTGTGACGCAAAGGTTGTTGTAATGAAATCATCTTGATGACAGTCATGCAGATGACAAGGGCAAGGCATTGTTCATCCATTTGGAAAAGAGATGAGTCATGTGAATTGGTGATGCTGTGAATAATCGTAAAGATCATAACAGTGACTAACCGCAATGAGGATTATAGATGGCAATTCATATAATGTTCAGAGATGTCTCACAAAGTTAACATTGACTAAACACTGTAGCTTCACCGATTTACAGTTATTAAAGAAGCAGCGAACTCTGGGGAACATGTGGCTGAACACGTCAGTGTTAACTGGTTGATATAAAACACTGTACCTATCATACTGTAAATCTGACTTAAAGCTTTCGTGACTGCAGGAATTCATATTCTTTGAGTCTTTCGGTAAAGTCACGTAGATAGGTTCAAACTTATAAGTTGAAACTATCTACGTGACTTTACCGAAAGACCCAAAGAATATCACTGTACATTTATACACCATTTGCAAAAACACAATTTGGTATATGAGAACTCGTATTTAAGTAACCTGTGTGAAGATGTATTTTTCTATCATTAATATTGTATTCGTTTATAGCACGAGTCGTGTTGTGCTGCACTTGGTTGAGAGCAGTGGGTCTTGGCCTGGGGTGTGAGATGCCCTTTCTGGGGGTGCGAGACGTGGACAGTAACACAAATTAAGCACGGGCTCGTAAGTACAACTACTTTGTTTCCTCAAACCCTGTGAATGTATTAACTTGGCACATGGTCTGACGATTGAGACCCCAAGGGGTGCAAGGCTGCAGTCAAGGGTAGAAGAACCACTGGTTTAGACGTCTCACGCCACGGTGACCAGCGGCCCACTCTGGAGCGATAACCCAGTGCTCTCCTCTCATTGTTGAACATCCCAGAGCATATCTGTAATATTTAAACGATTTGTATCTGGAAGCTACAAATAAATAGCACATACATTCTAACTCCTGTGTTCACATTGTGAAATAGGGCACGAAAAATAAATTATCACGTTTCTGCATTAGTGAACTTATTCTTTCAAATAATTGTATACATTTTCTGTGAACCAATTGAGGCTTTTTTTGCTTAATACTGTCACTGAAAGAGGAATCTCAACTTTCTGGCCAACCAGCCTTCATGAAGCATAGCTAAAATAACGTAAGCCTGCAGTTTAATAATGTCATTTGTTCAACTTTTATGAAGACCACTTTGATCAAATGTAAATGTATTTAACCGGTTACCGTAGAGCTCACCTCTTATCAATCGCCCATTCTCTTCCTCATCCCTCCCCCGTAGCCCTTTGACCCCTAAGTGCCCTCTATCATGGTCACTCACTCCTCAACCCTTATAGCACCCACTCACCCTCTACAACATTCTGTTCTGTCACCGGGTGTTAACCTTGAGCGAAGGGGCTCTATAAATGTAAACGAAGACAAGCTTTTACTGAGGGAAAGGTTGTCCTGCCTATGCTGCCATGTTACAGGAAGCCTGTGCTTGTCTGGTGCAAGTCCACCCATTGCCCTGCTGGAGGCTCACGGGTTAACTGGTGGAGGCTCGCAGGTTAACTGGTGGAGGCTCACGGGTTAACTGGTGGAGACTCACGGGTTAACTGGTGGAGACTCACGGGTTAACGGGTGGAGACTCACGGGTTAACTGGTGGAGGCTCACGGGTTAACTGCTGGAGGCTCACGGGTTAACTGGAGACTCACGGGTTAACTGCTGGAGACTCACGGGTTAACTGGTGGAGGCTCACGGGTTAACTGGTGGAGACTCACGGGTTAACTGGTGCAGGCTCACGGGTTAACTGGTGGAGACTCACGGGTTAACTGGTGGAGGCTCACGGGTTAACTGCTGGAGGCTCACGGGTTAACTGCTGGAGGCTCGCGGGTTAACTGGTGGAGACTCACGGGTTAACTGCTGGAGACTCACGGGTTAACTGGTGGAGGCTCACGGGTTAACTGGTGGAGACTCACGGGTTAACTGGTGCAGGCTCACGGGTTAACTGGTGGAGGCTCACGGGTTAACTGGTGGAGACTCGCGGGTTAACTGGTGGAGGCTCACGGGTTAACTGGTGGAGGCTCACGGGTTAACTGGTGGAGGCTCACGGGTTAACTGGTGGAGACAGAGGCTTAAGCGAAGGCTGCCAACAACGGAGCGAAGGTCGGATCGTTGTGTCCTGGTTACAGGACTATGGTTGACTTCACGTAAATTGAAATCCAATTACGCAATCTTGTTCGCGGTTTAATGTTTCCCTGAATGTACCTTTATTGGTGTTTTTAACAAAATGCAGTAAATAAATTTCAGTGGCTTAAGTGTCGTTTGCTCTGCGAGGTCACGTGGCGATCGCGTTACCGATTTGAGAAATTTGAGTGCGTCTCGACAGACCACAGTTCCAGTAACTCTAAATTAAAGAAACTTAATTAAAACGAATTCTGGAAACTATTGACACCGACAAAGAAAATGGAACAAACTTACATCATGCAAGCATGAAGTTCAGAGGAACAAATTGGCCAGGTAGCACAATGTCGAGTAATCCACTTTAAAGGAGGGTGGTGGGGGCCTTCGACAGAGCACTGCTGCTGGAAGGGGTGATGGCGAATGGATGAGACTGGTGATGAAGCAGACACGGAGTGATATCGGCTCCGTTGAGACTGGGTTGGACTGCAGCAGGAGCAGCACCACGGGACCGTGTGAAATGGCAGTGCCCTGGAGAGGCCTTCATCCAGCGGGAAATTGACCACGGCTGCGGATGCTGACATGGCACGATACACCATCGATAAAGCACACAGTCAGGCAGGTGAGTGGACTCATGCGCTTGCTGGTCCAATCTCCGGTCTGTGTTCACTGGCTGTTGACAAATCCCGACACAAATTGAGCTCCATTCGTGTCTTAAAAAGTCTACTTTGGTGGAAAAATGGCCACATTTCTGCAAATTTCCACTTGTCCATACATATGCCTGTCCACAAATGCACAAATCAATCCAGGATATTTGAAGTAGGATACAGATGCCACCCAGGATTATACAACGGTTATACCTGAAGGTATATACCTCAACACATCAGACCGAATCGCCTAGAAGGCGCCACGCGGGTTGCCAAGAGCCCTCTGCTGTCGACTCGAGGCAGAGTGCTGGGTTTTGTGACGACACGAGGCCACCTCGTGGACAGACTGTGAAAGTCGCCGTGACTTGGAAACAATTATCGAACGGGCATAAAAAAAAGTTCATACAAACCATAACAAACGAAACACGAGCCACTTTGTACATCTGCTTTGTATTGTACACAAGAAACAGCCGCCGAACACAAACTGCTGCAAAATTTTGGCAATTTCCCGCTGTCGCCGCGCGTCGATCTTCACACAGAGGTGTACGTGCGGAGTCCGCATGCCCGCGCGCGTCAACTCACTCTGTGAAACAAGTCTCGTGAGAAATCTTGGTTAAGACGGCGCGGCCCAGAAAGTCCATGAGCCTCGGCCAGACATTTCACCTGTACTGCCAGATGCGGCCTAACTTTAGTGGTTCCAATTCATGTATGTGGCAAATAAAAGTTAACTATGCAGTAACCGTTTGAAATTAGTGGGTTCTCAAATAATAATTGTAGCTCGTCGCACTCCGTAAAATCTTCGTTCGCTCTCGTAGGGAGAGAAGGCCGCGGTAGGAACCACGCACAGACGGGGAGCGTAGCAGCCACGATCAGCCGGCGCGGACTAAGTCACTCTTATTCGCCCCTTTTGTCACATTGGTACGACTAAAGTAGTTCTACCCTTAGATGGTACCGATCTGCGCTGTGGCCCATGGACTTAGGACGCGCGAAATATTCAGAGGCGCCCTGTTTGCTGCGAGCGAGGGAGTCGAGGGAGGGAGTTGAGAGCGAGCGAGGGAGCCGTACGTGTTCGGGGTCCGTCACCGCGGGGTCTCCGCGGTGCCCACGGCAGGGCGCCACCACGAGTCCAACGGGAAATCCACCCTCAGACACGCCACAAGTCGACAATTCCCACTTCGTTTCAAACAACTTGGTAATGTTTCACCTTAAAAGGTGCCATAAAAAGCCATTCTGTCAACAATTCCCGTTTCTATTTTTTACAGTTAAATTAAATCCGTGTTTTTACATTTGCGCAATTTCAAATGACAATTTAAAAGGCAAATGTAGTGACTAAAGGACGCATTAGGTTGAACAGTCGATGTGTAAATGTGCAGTTTCATGGGCCTAATTTATTTTACACGTTTCAATTTCGATATAATGCCCGATTAATATATTCATAGTAGCTCACTTATACAACTAGTATCATACACACTGGCGGTGCTACTACCCCCACTGCACCTCAGAAGCCGCTTCAGCGGCATTCAATTTTACCAAAAACGTTGCCATTCAACAGCACACCGTTAATAACTTACTCGGCCACCCCCACTGCTCACTGGATTCGCAATCGAAACGCTGCGCATTTACATCCCCGTTATGGGTGTCGACAGCCAGTTTAACCCTAATATGGTTGATAAAACGAACTATTTTGTGAGAAGTTAACAGCGATCATCCTATGGATAAACCAGCTTCAGTAAATGGGGATGTGGAGTTTACTCTGCTCGCTAGGAGCTGGAAATGAAGGCGAGGGCCACTGGGCCGCAGGCACGTGGTACAGACGGTGAAAAGCAGATCGACTCCATCTGGTTGCTGCTCATTCAAATAGGTTTCATGATTATTTTAGCCCTGATCCCAACCCCCACACACTCAGTGATGTGGTGACATTGGCCTTGTGCAGACCCAAGTCCGATAATTCAAGCCCTTGCCAAACCTAAGCTGCGACGCATTCACAGCACATTCGTCTTTGCAAAAAATCTATGCATTTACAAAGAACTTTACAGCCGGGGTTGCACGAGCTGTACCTTTACCGTTAAAACATTACCAATGTCGCAACTCGCGTGGCTCCCAACAGCCAACGACAACGGGACTCGTGGGTAAATATATATATAATTATGTACAGGATAAACTCAAGCACGGACGCGACGCTTTGGGTGACGTGGATAACAAGCGAATGAACGCACAAATGAATGAACGTGAAGGCATGACACGGATGAGCTAGCCAACCAAACGTCTAGAATGTGTCTCCATCCTATGTTAATACTCACAAATTCTGTGGCCGCGTGCCAATTAACACCTGTGGAACACCGCAGCCTATTGCGGTTTGAGTCTACGTACAAAAGAAGCCATCCACGGACTTTAAACATATAAACATGAACATGTTTCTCTTTCAAATTTCTCTCCCCTTCCTTTCATTGAAACACCTTCGTTTTAAACGTCAGGTCAACCTTCACATGAGTCTGTAAACACTTGTGTTGCCAGCCTGTAAAATGACGTTCAGTCTTTTGCTGTGTAAATTACATCTCTGTAGTAGTGGCACCGTGCCGTTATAAATTACAGTGATGGGCCAGAGCGAGTGACTAGTCTGTTTTAGGCAGACCTGATGCACACAATGTTTCTGCCACATTTTAACTTGAAACGTCTTCCAGATACCGCTAAATAAAAAAACATTTATCGAGCCAACTTCCACTGCGCCTTCCACTGCTGCCAATTGTCTGTTAAATGTTAACGTTTTTCTACTCGGCTCTAGATCCTGAGATCCGAAGACATGTTACTTCCTGCAAGAAAAACAGACATTTGATTTCCTCCCCCACAATGAGTCAAAACAATATTATCGCACCGTCCATGATGTTTCACGGACTCTTGAGCTCATGTCTCATGGTAGAGTGCCGAAGCAGGATTGAGTTTGTGCCACTTAAACGGTCCCTCTGTAATGCCAACGTCTTACCGCCCCGCCTCTGCACCAAGGCTTTGAGGTTCGGGAGCCAGCACTGACTCACTACGAGGGTGGTGGCTGCGAGCCCTCAACTCCACCGGTAACTTGTAGCCCTCTGTTTGAAGTCGAGGGTTCGTCTTTTCTCTCAGGCGAGTCAAGAATTTTAATCTATCCTTATGTTTTATTCATTGGTCAAGGATTCTGGTCAAACTTAAGAGTCCACATTTTAAATTGGGTGTAATTTTGTCTGTCCTTTTTTATGAGCTTGCAAGTATCTGTGTTACTTCCACAGAAGGTGGTTGCATAGTGTTTCATAAAAACAAATCTGGACCATTGATACAGTGAAACGGTGGTCACATCTAATTGTGAAGGTGAGAGTTCAAATACTGGTCATTATCCCTACTGGTTGATAACAGAAATGTGGACCTCTGGATGAGATCTCAATGTGGCGACCCACATAAGGCGAGAGTGGGTGCCCACAAAATTAAGAATGTGGAATTTCCACCACTGGCCCAGGGTTGCCAGCAGTGATGAGCACGACCCCATTGATCATTTGACTCGGGAGAAACTGAGCGATGGCCAACGAAGGGCACCACATGGGGGCATCACCACAGATGGACAGCGCAGCGCACCAAGCTTATCCATCTTGACCGCATGCATCACCAAAGATTATTCTGCAGAAACAATGGCCAGGTCGTACAGCCCCATCTCCTTTGCACTTTGGTGAGTAACGACTAAATTAATGTGAAAACACTAAACAAACCTTGAGGGTCGATTTGAAAAAAAGCGAATGCTTCAATTCTCTAATGCTGCAATGTACAAAATTAACACTCTGCAACAGAACAGTGAATTTCATTACATTTATCTGATAATACGTTTCTTTTGCATAGCAACTTTAATATATTAAAATAACAATTAAACAAATGATAATGCTTTCTTGAAAAGTCTTGCCAGTCGAATATAGAACCCGGATACAATTGCATGCAGTAATAGAGATTCGTTGCAGTCAGTGGTGCAAGTCTGTGGGGCTCACCAGTGAACTCCTAAGTGCTGCTGCGGTCTGTACAGAGCGGACAGCTGTTGTGAAATATCGAGGCCGGACCATTTACTCAGGGTGCCACTTCACCGGGGATCTCGCGTGCAAGTCGGCGTGCATCGCACTTTTAAGGGGGGGGGGGGAGAGTGGGGGGGGGGGCGCTAAGGGGCAGGGAGCGCCCCCCAGCCCACGTTTATTACCAACGTCTCCTTGCGTGCGTCTCATTAAAAACTGTACAAACCCAGCTAGGGGAGGGAGGGCAGGCAGGGGAGGGGGGGGCGAGGGGCGCGGAGCCGCCTCGCGTGGCGATCGCAACGCCCAACGACGACGCCGCCGCCGACCCAGGTCCCGCACGCCGGCACAACGACCGGCCCCGCTCGTCCCTCCCACCCGCCGCGGTTACACGCCGGCCTTTCCCCTCGGGGAAGGGGGGGCGGCACGCGCGAACGTTCATCTAACGTTGGTGGGAGTTCCGTTGGTGGGCGGGGAGAGCGCCGGCGCCGAGTTGGGGCCCGTGCCGTCGGGGACGCCCGTCAGGCGGGGGGCGTTGCCGTTGCTGGGGTTGCGGCGGCTCTGGTGCAGGCCCTTGAGGTAAGCCGCCTGCACCGGCTTGTAGCGCTCCAGCACCTTGATGGCCTCCTCGATGCTGAACCACTCTCGCCGCCGGCCTGCACGCGCGACACGGAGGGGGTGGCCTTGTCAAGGTGCTCGTGGAGCGCGGGGTCGGGGTGTGGGTGGCGCACGCCCGCAGGCTGGGGATGGGAGATCGTTACGGGGTCATCGGGCGCAGTCAGACCCTGAAACAGCCCTGGGACCAGTTATGAATTATTCATGGATTCCTCCAGAACATGTTTGGCTTAAAAGTTGTCCATTTCTCTCAGAAGGAAATACAAAGAACCCAATAAACAAATTTTACTCCACTTAAATGGCCTGTTGTTTCACTCAATTGAGAACTTGGCATGATCCTCCTGAAACAGCTTTGAGACTCGGTGAGGCTTTCCTGAGTAAACAAACATAACAAATACAGGGAGAACAAGACAGAATTTAGTTGAGCTTGCTTGTATTTCCCCATTATTTGGTCCCCGCTATGGGAATGTGGAATTTCCACAACCAGCTTGAGGGACACGGCAGAGGTGAGCAATCCCCACACTCATTTCACCAAGGAGCCACTTTGCCCCTCGGTTTTAATCCAAATGTCCCTTTTAGCCATTGTACCAAGAAAGCCTTGCTGGGTGTGAGTTTAATACGATGGGGGGGGGGGAGTTGCAGACATTTGTGATACAATCACAGAGAGCCAAATTAATGAATTAATTCCAATTTGGTCTCTTGGCCGGGCGCCGTCCCGGCTCCGGGCCCTGGCTGCCGCGTCGTGGGTGGACGCCTCCAGAGCCACAGCGCCGCTGCGGCTAAGATCGTCGCATCTTTATTAATTAAACAAAGTCCAGCCATCCAACTTGGCTGTCAATCATCCGTGAAACTGCAACTCGGTCATTAGCCCCTAGGAGGCGCCAATGGCTCGTGCCGAGCTAATTTTTGTGAAAATGAACCTCTAATGCAGCGGGCATTGGGACAAAAAAAATTGACAATAGTGGCATTAATGGCTTCAATACGTTATTTTATTATTTTACCATTCAGCTAATAACTAATGTCCTATATTAACAGCAGCACAACCAATTAGATTTAATGTTAACACCTATCATTGTTTTTATCTATTCAAAGTCAAATTGTCAACCTCAAATGTGCATTGGGGGTAACAGGGACAAGTCTCTCCCATGGGACAATCCAACAAGAGACTTCCCACCAAGCAGGACTCATCTAAACCGATCTCCCAAGGATAAACGACCCAATGCTCCACACGGCGGGATCGTGAGAGTCCTCGTGACTGGGTTCCCAATCCACTCGCGTGGGATTTGAGAGTCCCAGCTGTTTTCCAATGTCTCCATGCGAGTTCTCTCTCGCTGATGCTTCTGTTATGTGCTGCTTAAGACAATTCATGTTTGCCAGTGTTTTGTCGTCCACTCTTTTCTGCAATTCAAAACTACTGTCGAGACTTCTTTATAATGGACGATACGTTTATGGACACCCTGCAGTTAATTCGGGTTAAATACACTCCACGTGACGGAAACGATTGTAAAAGTAATGCATACATCACAGCCACAACTGCTACTACTGCTACAACAAAAGGAGTGGCTGTTGAAGAAAGACTTGTTTGACTTTAACAGCCACTACTGGTGTCGTCCTATCTTTTGATTTACGTGTTATTTTTACAGCCGTATCCATCACACATAGCGTATTTATAAGAGAAACAACTTTGTTTCTCTTCAACGGTCGCTAGTGGTGTCGTGCGTTGCGATTTACGCGAACGCATTTTCCTTCTAAGCTTTATTCCTCCTCCCGCTTCACGTAAACCCGGTGACCCGGGACTCCGTTTGCTCTGGCACCCGGTATCACTGCGACCGTGGGTGGCACGCGGCGCGAGCGATGCGCAATAGCGCCGGGCGGACAGACGACACGGCCGAGACACGTCGGGGTTTATAACCCAAACTGCCCGCCGTGAGGCACGCACGGAGCCGGCAGCAGTCACTGCCGAGCGCCCCGGCGCCCCACGAGCGTGCAGATTCGAGCGGGCTCCTCGCGCCGCTCGCCCGGGACAATTACCCAGGGAAATGCCTTTGCACGCGGGTTGAAGAGTGGCTTTGATGCTCAACTTTGTACCAGAAGATAAAGAGATTGGCCTCAAGAGGTTGGGTAGCTCGGCGTGGGCGAACGCCCTCAAGAGGGCAGAGCTGGACAGGAGTCTGCGTCCTACTTTCTGCACAGCGTCATCTTAAAACGCCGCTACATTTGGAAGCTATATAAACCCCCACTGTATGTGGTGTACCGTGTTCCCCCTTGCAGCATGCAGCACAGCGAAAGTAAACACACGCACACACGCACATTGCCCTGTTTAATGCAGCTGCACGCACACGTGCGTAATTGAAGGAATTCTAATTAGAGGTGCCATTATTTTCTGGAGAACACTGCTCGACTTGCCGGGCAAGGTCGGCAGAAAAAACGTGGCTCCGAGTCGTTCACCTTTCTCGATCGCTGAAAAGACCTCCACACTGTACTCTACATAAAGCCATCTGGGAGAATCAGCCATCATCTATCCACTGCTGGATGAAGAACTCCCTCCCACCCCCCACAAAGCCATCGCCACTGCTTCAACACTGGACGGTTACGAGTTCAAATCGCAGTTGGGGGCCGACTCAGCCCATCATCTTCTTTCAGATACAACAAAATAAATCGGTACCACTCTGTGGGAAGTCAATTATAGTTGCCCTGTAGAGAGACTGGACCCCACCTAAGGAATGTGGAATTTACACCACGAGCCCAGCATTAGCAGGGGACAAAAACATGGCTCTGCTTGCTCAAGGAATGAGTCACTTTGATTTTTAACCATAAGGCAGTTACCGAGTTTCAAGAACCAGACATTCAACAATTGATCAGAGGCAATTAACTTGACCAATGCCATTACTTGGAATCAATAGTCTAAGCCATTAGCGCATAAAGAGAAGGCTTTAAACTAATCCTCACATTAGACTGGTTTCATTTCTTTAATGTGCTTTTGGCAAAGTGATGCGAAGCATCTTCCTAATTAAGAACCTACATCAAAGGCACGATCCCAATATAGTTCAAGAGCCAGGCTCACAAAACCTCGAGAGTGCACTACCACCTTCAGCTGTGCAGACAAATTAATGGTTCAATAGACAAAATATTTACTAATTTGGTCCTCGGTGCACCGCTTCACCTACTTCAGGAAACAACGGACAAATAAAATTCCTGGCACAGATATAATCGCATGATGGATTGCAGTGGCAGTGATGGCTCAGTACTCCAACAAGTCACGTACCATCCAGCCTTCATGGAATACCCAGCTGTCTCAAATATAGTAAACATAGCTGTGATTAGATGGGTGATTCAGGGTACAAAACAGGAACAGGAGGTAACTTCAGCACTTAAATAAGAATATCGTAAATCACACGCACACAAATATCACAATGACAGCAGCAGGAGCAGCATGCCTACTTGAGCGGTGATGCGTCAGTGACACACTAGGATCGGTGACACGCTCGGCACAGGCACTCGGACAGCTGTCGTGCACCGGCTCCTATCAAAGGCAACTTGAGACATGGCCAAATTTACCACAACTACCAAGTGGGCGACTTCCCCTAACGCTCCAGTAGGCTCAGAGAAACATTAGCAAAGCATGCGACATTTGAATTTGAATAACAACGAATTAAGTTAAGGGAAGTCTCAAACCCACAACACAAATAGCTTTTACCTGTTCACTCCCTACCCTTGTTCAAGCGCCAGTGGAAAGATGTTAACTACCTCACCTGGTATACAGGAGATCCTGCATTCAATCCTGGCCCTGACGTTTATATATTTGGAGTTTGCGTGTCTCTCTCCCCGAGGTCGCGTGGATTTTTATCCGGGTCCTCTGGTATTCTTCCTCCACATTTAGAATCATGCGTTTAGAGTATTTTGCTGCTATAAATGTAGACGTGCTAAACCACTTCGTTGACTATTATGGGAACCAGGTCGCTTCTGAAATATAGCTAGAGCTCAGTGGGCCTTCATTTGTCAAATAAAAAAGTTAAGTTTTAAAATAGCCTCAAAGACCTTCACAATTTCCTCTGGTAAAGTGTGGCAGCTTCTCTCTATAAAATAAACACGCCCACCATTCCAGAACAGCGTCTTCAGACGCTGCATACATCCAAATTGTACCTGACATTGTGGGTGTGTACCTAAAAGACGAAGCCTCGAAAAGGGCAGGGAATAAACAGTATGGATGGCCAGAGGAAGATTGTTCCAGATTATGAGGGCAGCAGAGGAGAATGAGTGACCTCCTACCAAGCCAAGGTTGACCGTAGGCTTTGACAGGAGGCTGACAGGGGCGAGTCCACGGATGTTCTCGAATACGGCGAGTGCCATCTTAACATTTTATCTGGATTGGGAGCCAGTGGAGGGGGGGGACTAGAGTATGACGGTGAGATGGTCTCGTTTACAGGTGTGAAGTCTGGCAGCCGCATCTGGAGCTTGGAAAGGAGGAATTTGGGGAGGCTGTAGAGGAGAGAGTTGTTGGGTGAGGGTCTCATCATCATCATCAGCAGTTGCGGTAAGGAAATTGATTATCATGCTCAGGACATGCGTAGAACCAAGCGTGAGAACACACGCAGGTGATTTGCTCGTGTTACTTTTTTAGCTAATGGAGCGAACAAGATATACAAATGAGAAACAATATAAAAGTTAAAAACAAAACGGAATATATTCACCAATGAAATCACACCCCCGGATTGTGGAATTTCATGAACTCAATGCGGGTTTGGCAGGGAGGAGGGGGATAATAAAAATGCATTTTAATCGACGAATCGTTGCACACGTAACGGACGCACCGAGCCAAGTGGGCCGCCACGCCGCGCGTGCCCAGCAATCCACCGCCCACCCCAAGCCCCGGCGTGATGGAAACGGCCAACTATTTGGATTATGCGATTATGTCACTTCCACATACAACCTGGTCCCTAAGCTACACGGCAAAACTCAAGCTCAAATTATCCATTACGCTCAGTGTGCCACAGCGCTCAAGCCAGACATTCAGAGGACCCATTACAGCACAGGCTTAGGGCTTCCTCAACTTCTGCTGGCTGTACCAACAGCTCGGCGTGGTGGCACACGCTTCGGATGCAAGGGTTGGTGGATCGCATATGGATTTGTGAAACTGCCGAACTCGCTGAGCTGCGGTGGCCAAGAGATGGCAGTGCAGCAAGTCGGCCAAGTGAACCCACGTGTGTGGCACCCTCCCACGTGTGTGCGAGAGCATGGCAAGTATGTTTAAGCCGCCGTGCAAGTGCCTGTGCATGCAGGGGAAGATGAGCATTAGCAAGAGATGAACCCAGAGGCATAGGAGACGACCAAGGTGCTGGTCCATGGCTATCCATAATGGTAATTAACGCACGTTTGCAAAGACACGATCGTTTCCAGCCCTCCTGATGGCCATTACGTTTGACGTGTTCCATTACGGATACTCAAAACCTTTAATGAGCTCTTGCAGGGATAGGAAGGACGCAACGACTGGCAAATAAATGCCCACAAACAAGAAATTACTGCCCCACAAGCATGGGGAAAATCTTAAGTACCGCATGCACTAAAACGGAATACAAATTTGTACCTTGGGAAAACAGCTGTCGAACTATGTTTGGCAGATGTAATATAAACGGCTGTGTTGATTTAACACCATAATACCAATATGTATGTGAAGGAACCTTATTAGGTTACGCACAGAGGTAAGTCAAAGTGCATCCCTGTTCAAATGTGCAAGGGGTAGTGTTCATTGCTATTGGTAGTCATGAGTCAGTGCCAGATGCTCCAAAATGCTATGGCAGGGGTCAATATTATAAATTGGAAAAGCACTCCTGACTTTTTACAATGTAGTTATCATTGTGTTGACCCCATAGGGGTAATGGGCTGAGTAAAACCTAAACCAAGATTTGTAACCATTAAATTGCAAGTCCAACTGGTCAACAAATAAAAACACAGCCCTTGATCACTCCCCGTAGCCACATGCATCCCAAGGGGCCTCACTCAGTAGGAAAGTGCGTTACAGCGGTGAAAGAGTACGCGACTGCCCTGGCAGTCAGCCCTCGCGACTGAACAACACTGGCCGAGTATAAAACATAGCAACCAATTAATCTTATATCAAACCAAGCGAGGGCTTGGAAGACCTGGCAAAGTAAGAGCTTGACGCAGCTCAGCTCCATCAGCCGGCCGCATCCTGCAGAACGGCACCTTTGAGGCATCTACGGCGGCGCACGGACACTCGCCACAACGTTCCATCGAAACCGCCCTGAACCAGAACGCGCGTCACTGGCGGGCTAGACACACCACCCTCTTGGCGCTGCACTCACCCTCATGTTCAATATTACAATATGGATGTTACATGGTCACGTGGTTAATATTATGCTTTGAGCACGAGTGAGAGCGTGCTCGTGTGTGGTGTGTGTTGCCACAATTTAAGTTATTCTGCAAACACGGACATTCTGAATGTGATGAGAACCACGAGAGGTCTCTTTTGCTTCAGGTGGGAATTACAGAAACCTAATCACTTGCTCCAAAGTAATAAAAGCCTTCTGCTCTTAAAGGCATTTGCACAGCAAATGGCGTACCAGAGCCTATAACCCAGCATGGGAGTAACTGGGTATGGAGACAGGGTGCATGTGTACATTTAAGGCTTGAATTCTGGCTCCTATGACCCAGCCAAGACACACATGAACTTAACCCGTTTAGGAGTTTATATGCATAATGGGTTTAAGTTTAGTTCAACTTAATGGTAAGTCACCCTGAAGGTTTATCACTCTCAAAGTTAAAAGTTTAATCTGAGTTAAGGGTAAAGCCTCGGCCTGTAAAGGGTTTAACCCTCCGAATGTGTTAAGGGTTTATGTGGGTTGAGGGTCAACCTCGGCCTAAGGGTCAAGGAGCACTGCACACGCACACAGCCATTGAGTGAGCGGCTCGGAGCCTGCGGCGGAACAATCGGCTGGTGCTGGTGAAACGCACGCGATCCGGCACGGGCGGAAGGCGTTGGCGATCCGGCACGGGCGGAAGGCGTTGGGATCCGGCACGGGCGGAAGGCGTTGCGATCCGGCACGGGCGGAAGGCGTTGCGATCCGGCACGGGCGGAAGGCGTTGCGATCCGGCACGGGCGGAAGGCGTTGCGATCCGGCACGGGCGGAAGGCGTTGCGATCCGGCACGGGCGGAAGGCGTTGCGATCCGGCACGGGCGGAAGGCGTTGCGATCCGGCACGGGCGGAAGGCGTTGCGATCCGGCACGGGCGGAAGGCATTGCGATCCGGCACGGGCAGAAGCGCTGGGAGGGGACTCGGCGGCAAGCCGTGGAGGGGGGGGGGTGGGGGGGCGCTGCTCACCCAAGTTTTCAGAGTCCTCCCACTGATCCAGCACCTCCGTGACGGTGAGTACGAATACGTAGGTCCGATGCCTGCTGTCCACGTTCTGCAGGGAGGAGCACGTTGGCGAAGCATAGAGAACACAACCCTGTCATGACCACTGCCGCACGCCTAACCCCTGGAGAATTGTGTTTTTTGTTGTTGTTAAGACTTTTGCCAAAACCAGTTTGCGAGTGTCAAGAGTCAATGACTCGCCCTCACTTCAGGCGAGCTTTGGGCAGCACTCGTCTCCATTGGTCAAACCCCCCACTCCCGACTACCCCCAGAGCCAGAAGTTAAACATGCCTACGCCGGGGGACACGCTCTACCCGTAGTACGGTCTAAGTACCAGGGTAGGGCTGCACATAGATCACTCCACTCATGACGAGACCCTCGCAAGTCATTTACACTGAGGGGGGGGGGGTTCACTCAGCCAATCGTCTCTCCATAGTCATTAACCTGAGTTTGCGCTTCATAGGACGTCAACCATGGTCGTCTCATAGGCATGTGGAATGTTCACCACTGGCTAAAGGCCACCATCACAAATCAGCTCTGCCACTCTTGCATTGTTTGAGCAGGGAGACCTTGGCCTTCATTGTTTCGGCTCTCCTAGCAATGCAGGCTTGTGTAAGCGATTCACACTTCCCAGCAAGTCCATTGTCACGGTTCAGGGTTGCAATCCGATTTAAAGAATACAGCTTTGACATTTCTGATGTCAAACACCGCGGGTGAATGTGGCTCCTCTAATGTCTACAGGTGTCTAGCAAAACCACTGAGTACAAACACAAATTGACAATCATCTATTTATAGAATTGAAAATGATAGATTCTTACGCCACACATTACTCGATGCATGAAGCGTGAGCTTCACAACAGAGACTTCACTGCACGGCCCATGAGAGACGATGCCTCAAGGTGCACATGGGGAGGGCATTGTTGAATCATGACACAACTTGGCTATATTAGGATATGAACATGCGCTGCTGCATACCTCAAATATTCCCAGCAACCTTCCCAGAGTTCCTCTTACACCAGCCTGAAAATGACAGAGAAGCACGATGAACAACGATTAACACTGGTTCCCGTGCATTCTTTACGAGGCGGCACGCTTTCAAAGTGACGATGACAACTTAAAATGCAGAGACGAAGTTTTAAGCGGAACATTCTGTGCGGTGGTCATGGCCAGCACTCCAGGAAAGAAGAATTAAACACTGACATTTTATTAAACTTCACTACACAAGTAAGATTATTGGCGTACTACACGGACACTAAATCAGCTGTTTACGTCGCCCTGGGGGTGTCTGGCTTTATCAGGTGCTATAGAATGGCAACTGGAACACAAAGACAAATGTCACTCCAGGCCCATCCATAGCGGGCTGCAGGACAGAGAAACAAACCCCAATGTGGGCCCCCACCCACCACAACACCTTCAAACTAAACCGGGAGTATTACATTTGACGCAGTGACGTCGAAGCGCGGGGCCCCCCAAAGCGAGGGGCCAAGGGCAGTCGCCCCAACTCCCCATACCCCGAGGGTGGCTCCGTGCCACTGCTTGCCTTCTACAAGCTGATGGAACCCAACCTGAGGTGTCTGTTGCTACGTAACTACGCGCCGTGTTCCAGGTTGTCCAAAAGGGCATGCAACAGCCAAGATAATTGATGAATTATTATAATTTAGGGTCACAATTTTATCTACGGATAGATTCTGTTCTTTCACATGCTTACAGTCCTGTTTTTAATGGTTCTGTTTTTTGTTTCAGTTATCCAGTTTTTTACTCCATTTTCCCACATAAGCATATCATTTGTACAGTAGCCACTATCTATCCACTGGATGAGGTCTTCATCCATCAGTGTCGCCATGCCTCCGGGCTTTATGAAGAAACGATCGGTCTAGGTCCTAGACATGCTAGACGTCCCCTCTAGCACGTTCCCGCTCTTGGCTATCACCCCGTTGTTAGGATCAACCACTGGCCAGTAAATGAAGGTTCTCTTGCTGAGCGAAATTTGACGAGGAAAGAAATCTGTGGTTGCTGGGGTAGAGTTTAAAGCACCCATCACGACCTCCAAATTACAGCTGCAATACTCACCTGCTCCATTGTGTTGTAAACCACCATGTCACCAACCCAATATCCTGGGATGGAATTCCGAGCCTACTCTGCATGCACCTGAACTTGATATTTGTTCCAGCAATTCATTATCATGGGCTGCATAGGGCCAAGTGACAGGAAGACTGGAACCGCTGCGTGTGGTTAAGCCTCAACTGCAGTGACACAGCACAAGGCTGGCACTGCCCCGCTCAGCAAACACGCACAAACTCTCATTAAACATCCTGCGCTCCCCCCCCCCACCACCTCACTCCATATGTGAGTATCTCTGAACAAATAAAGCTCTGGCACCATTGTATAAATAGTGTTGTGATAGTGCCGTCTATAAATGTTGTATCGTAGTAAGATGACGCACACGTGCTCACAAACGTACACACACACACGACAGAAAAGTCATGGGCAAGTGGACTCCTGCCTGAAGCAAAAGCAATACCATGTTCTCCAGCTAGGAAAGTGTACAGTGAGGTCCCTTTCTCTCTGTCCATGTAAGCTGTCGACCGTTATGTACTCGGCCACCCGAGTTCGATTCCTGGCCATGGCTAAGAACAGTGGCGAGTGATATCTGAACTGCTAGTGGGCTTCCCTGGCACGTCCTCTTGACGTTTCGGTCCGAGCGCTGGGCGTTTTTTCAAGAACTGAACAGAGCCGCTCACGTTCTCCCTCGCTTAGATCGGCGTGCAGAACGACGCGCGGTCACAGAGCCCTAAATCAAGTCGCGGCACTCGACGGCACAATCGTGGAAATCTCCGGAGCTGTTTCGCTCTTACGGTTATGACTTTGGGAACGTTGTCAATGTACAGTTCAACACAATGAACATTGCCCACTGCCCAATGCGCCTTGCCTGCAGGGTGGGCAGTTTGCAAGGGGCTCTATATATAGTCGCGCAGCGCTCAGCAGCGATAACGTTTACTGCTTCCTGCGTCGCTAACTCAACGTCGACGTTTGAGAAGACGCTCTCCGTGGCAAGGTCCACGATGCTGAAGGTCGAAGCTGCGCGCTCCGGCCTGCTGTTTCGCAAGAGCACAAGTGCACTCTTACACGTGACCAAGGGCAAGGCGTGCACTCTCACACCCTTACACATGACCAAGGGAGAGGCGTGCACTCTCACACGTGACCAAGGGAGAGGCATGCACTCTAACACGTGACCTCACATCACCAGTCTCCCATTAGGAAGCCAGATTATATGCAACTAAACCTCGTCATCGTCATCAGCAGCCATAGTCTATCCTCTGCTGGAGACAAGAATGCCTCCAAGCCACAGTCATCTCATGGCCCTGCGATGTAACGATCCGCCGAGCACCGGCACGCAAATAGATTTCACGGCTCCGTCTCCTCAGCGGATGTCCTCGCGGGGGGCGCGATCCGTCTCCGTCACCATTCTTGATCGTTGTCCATTGCCCTTCAAGGCAGGATGCGCCCTGCCCAAGCCCACTTGCTGTTCACAACAGTGTGAATCATGTGACTAACTTGTGTACAGCCTAGAGCAAAACAAGGATTGGAGATACTTGAGATGAGAGAACTCAACTTATTCTAATTAAAATTACAAGTGTTTATTTGTATAAATTGTAGCTCTCTCGTAGCCACGACCAGCACCGTGCCCTGCGATCTGCTATTTTTACAGAAACACCCCGACTACATGGGGCTACACCCAATGACATTAGCACTTGATTATATAATACTGTACTACCCCCCCCCCCTTCCCAATAGCATTGCATCGCTATCCTCACCACGTTCAATACATTTTTATCTTGTATTGTTGAATTGATATGCGAAGTTCAACATACATAATTGTGTGTGAATAAATAAGTATTATTATCATACCTCTAATTTGGATGGTATCTGTCACGAGTAGCTTATTCCTTACTAAAACTATTCACTTTATTCATAAAATATGAAGAACATAAAATGTATTTCCTGTATGCGAGAATACATTTGTTGGAAGGACACAAATGTGTCCTTTGCCCTCGCAATATTTACAAATATTTGTTATTTGAATAAGTGGCAATGTAAGGACAGCACTACCTAGGGGGAGAGGGCCTGATTATATTTAGCTAAAGTATAACAACTGTTATTGTACGTGGAATGGCATCTTTGACTGCCATTCACTCACATAGTACACGGCGTTCATTTAGAATATACTTTCCTATTTGGATCGCTTATAGGGTATGAGCAACACTGCATGCAAACGGGCCCTGTTCAATTAGAAACAGCACTGTACGTTCTGACGCATGCCATGTCCTGTTCTCCTGAAAAACATTAAGCGCTTTTCAATATAAACGAACGCTTGGACTCGCAGAGGACACGGCTGGATGGGCTGAACTGGCGCCCGGCTCCCGGATGAGTCCTTGATTACTCGCTTCGCCTCGCGCAACTGACGGCGTGTGCCGGTGTCGCCACAGCGATGGTCAGGCGCCATTAGACACTGCCGTGCATCGGCTGCAGTTTGACATCTCAGATGCAGTGCGACTTCTCAGATAGGGCTCTCGTACCGTTTAGGGGCCGAGCGTCTGCGTGTTCCAACCTGTACCGGTTCAATAAGCGGCGGGTGGCCACCGGAGCTGCCACTCACAAAGTCTCCAGGTTCAACGCACAATGACGTCCCTTGTGAGAAACAAAATCGTACCTGGGGATGTTTGGTCGAAATTATATTTTACGATTTACAGGAAAGTTAATTTGATTGCCAGAGTATCTTTGCTTTTCATTGGACACTGCATTATTCCTGGCAGATCTCCCACTCACGTGGGGTCTGCCGTCTGCTGTTCCTCGTTCTCCACTCATTCTCATGCTGGGCCATCTCCACTGCAGTCCTTCACGTCTTGGCTCACCACCTGGCACCACCTCCAGGCCTGCCTGTCCATCTTTGCCCTGGCGCTTTCATATTCCATCACCGGTATTCCAATGCGGTTTTTCTCTCTTCTTACAACACATCCTGGCTGACTCGACAACTCACTCTCAACTTGTCCAAGACGGCTACCACTCTCTCCTTCTTAAGAGCGTCTTCATTTCAGACCCGATACTGATACTGTACGTACAACGAATTGCATTATGGTACATCACATTTCCAATTAAGCATTGCTCCTACGACTCGTGGATAGTTTCAAAAGTCACGTCAAAGTGTCTGCATTGTAAAACAAGGCAGTACCGAGTTCCATGGTCGGTCCCAAGCCAGTGGTGGAAATTCAACGTTGACTTCCAACAATCCAGTACTCATGTTCATAAAGGCCTGAGTAAACTTTACACTCATGAACCTTCCCACCGAAATCTAAAACATAAAAATGGGCGTTGGGGTAGTACCCCTCCCTATGGGTGGCCCCTGAGTCAGGGGTGAACATTTGACATTCCGTGGCATTGGTTAAATAAAGACAAACAAATGATGGATGATGATGATGACTGGGCACAGTACGGGTATTTTGACGTAACTGTTGACCCCAGAACCCAGTGTAGCCTAGCAGGACGTACACCGTATACCCTCCACCGTTTACCAACTTGTAAGCAAACTCTGCACAGTAAACATTTAAAATCTAGCTGAACCAGTAATATTCACATGGAACTACCATCCACTGTAAGATTGACAGTAAAGACCCTGCAGCACCATTTGTTTCTGTAAAAAGTCAGACTCACAAATGTGAACAATGTAAATAAACAGCTAAATATTAATGACTTTCCCTATCAAAGACATCAAATAAAATCTTGAACATCAATGGGCGTCCCCAGATAGATGAACAACGTGGAATTGAACTGAAATACAAGCGGATCATGACTTTACAATTCCTTTCATCTCCTTTCCTACATGTCTCCCTTCTCTAGTCTCTAGGCATTGCTGTGGAGTGTGTCCAAGAGGCTAACGGCGGGGCATCTCAGCTGGCTTCACTACAATTACCATAACCGTAATGACCCTGGCATCATTTAATTTAAAGGCGTCTTCCCGAGATATGTAAGAGAATTACAGCCGATCCATGCGCAAAGACCCCACCCCTACGCTTACCCCACATACAGGTTCGACTTAGGCTTCTTAGGATTCTGAGAACATGTCCTGGGATCAGAGAGCCAAAATAAGACACCTTCAATTAGTCTCGGGGGAATAATTAACAGGACGCCAAGTTTAAATGCTGCCCCCACACAGTACACAGCTCCCTTACAGGGCGAGGCAACCGCTTGTTTACAAGCGACGATCCTCGTTACCAGTGACAAGATACCACTGCACGTGTGGGCCACATGTACACAACATGCACTCGGTGCTTTGCTTATGCGTGCTCGTCTAACACAGCTTTCACATCCAATCAAGCAAAGCACACACACACGGCAAAAGGGACTACTCCACCCAATTAATATACAGTGGACACAACCAAAGGTGCCATTGTCTGGCATATACTTTAGCTCGGCTGGCCAAATATTACAAATTCTAATTGTGAGCTCAAATCCCAGCCAAGGACAACTTGACCTCACCACCACCACCATCATCATATACTTCATAGATGCAGGGTCAATGGGGAATATTTATTAAATCTCCACTCCTCTTTCCACTCAGCAGTATAAATGGACGCATCAGCCAGTTGGTGGGCAGGTCACAAGTAGGTGGATCACGTGTGAGTACTTCCCAACTTTGCCTAGACGTCTGGCCAGCAAGAGTAGACCAGACACCATCTGGAGAGGTTTTCTAGAGCTCCCTCCAGTCGAGGCTGGACTGCACCTTTACCTTGAGATGAAGCTACCAATTGAAGTAGTAATCTGGGTCGGTGAACATAATCAGAACTTGGTAGACAATAAGTGGGCAGGAGTCAACGGTGGCAGTTCTATGAACTAATCTACCCCCATATGGATATGGAATTCCCACCACTGGCTCCGAGCCTATTTAGAGACGCGTACCACCCAAAGCTCATTGGAGCAAGTGACACTGGTGCCTTGATCATGCCAGTGTCACCAAGGTAACGATGTAACAGAGACACTGTGATATTCTACTGATCATAGGCACAGAAAGTGTAATTTTATTTGCCCCTTGCCCTAAATCCAACGTCACGTTTTAGGTGATAATTGGTGGAGAAATAGAAAAACACACGTCCATAATTTGCACGTTTTAGCACTGAGGATAATGAGTCTACACTGAGTGCGTGACACTCGAGACAAAAGCCAAACATAAAAAACAACTAGATTTTCCAAGTAGCACACACAGGGCTTAGCGTACATCATGTACAGAGCTGAGGGATTAACCATCACATAGCCGTGATGAACTGTGAAAGTACTGGGACACCGTACATCCAGCAGTGGATAGACTATGGCTGGTGATTAAGATTAAGTTAAAATACGACACAATTTGCATCTGTACCACATTCTTCCCGCTGAACAGCGTCTCTTGTTGCTTTACAATTTAACTCAAAAAAGCGTTTGGCCAATCAATACAACCTAAAACTGGCTAAATCTAACAAATACGCTTTTAAATTTGAAATAAAATATTTGATTGTGCCAGCATTCCTGATGCGACTTGAAATACCGTTCTAGAGGCAGGGAGAATATCAACTAAAGTCCCTTGCTCCTCCTGGTGACAAGGTGGACAAACATAGTCAAAGGTATTTATTTTGCGAATACTTTCATGTGTGACTTTCACACAGTTAGAGCACCAGGCACACAAGAAAAACAAATAATTAAATTAATGTGTATAAGTCGATGGTCGTCAATGGCCAAGTGGGATATTACAATCGCAAGGAGATATCTACAGCAGGAGCACAGAACCGTCCATTTGGCTTGCGAAGAAAACACTAAGTGGCGTCCCACACATACCCCGAGCAGAACGCAACAACACAGCGACATGGTCAAGGCACTCGCCATTCACCTCTTCGAGAACTTCCCGCACCGCCGCACTGCCCGGCTCCTCCTCTGGCTCCAGCCCACCACCCGGCACGATCCACCGGTCCGGAAACCGCTTCGTGCTCACGAGCAGAACCTGGTGGGAGAGACAAAGACACAAAGATCCCTCATAGCTTCAACAGACCGTTGGGACAAGTGCTGTTGGCAAGTAGCACCTATGGAGGCCGGCAGGGTACACAAAGGGGTGGGTGGCCAGCACCACGCCCGGCCACCTTTGATTCCCCAGTATCGATGTTTATACACCGCACAAGATACTCATTTGAGGCCAAGTCGACCCAAGGGAGGTCCAGGACCGATTCAAATAATCGCTATCATTGGTCATAAGCGGGCCTCGTACTCTGGTCACTGGGTTTGTAGCGCAGAGCACTAACCGCTGCGCCACCGCTCCCCGGGAGAGACGAACACTGACAGACGTGTTCCCATCAACGTGTGTAGAGCTGCCTATGCTCACACACCTTTGCACGCTACAGAGCGATGTGATTCCATGGCGAGCAAGGCGAGGCGTCCGTCATCATTGCATTTCTGTGTGTACAGCAGAACAAAGCTCCTACCAGAGCAGATAACATTGTGACAATCTCTTTAGTAGAGGAGTCTAGCTAACGCTGACATCAGTGGCAAGTTAAATCTTAACTGGTCCTACCCTAGAATAAACTCAGCACCGCCATAGCAATGTGGAACTTGCGTCACTGGTTTAGAGCTTTAAACTGGGGATAAGCGCTGCCTCGATGATAATTTGAGCAACGGAAAATAATTGTGATTTAAGAGATTGCTTAATGAGCATGCATGCAGGGAATCGCATGCAAGCATATGGACAAAATGAAAGAACATGGGGCAGGAAGTGGCATTGTGCATTAACAACAGTAATGGAGAATGAGACCGTAATCACAAGATGAGGAACCAGCCGCACAGTGACAATCCTGGATGTGCCACGCTTGCCGCGTTCACCAAGCCTCTTGCACATTGCAGGTTTCTCACATCAGCAAAACAAGGCACAAAGTTCACGGAAGTCGAGCGCTGGAATCTTACATTTACTCTCCTGTGAGCCAGGAGCGAACCAATATCAGCAATGCGAGCGTTAAAGCTAGAGAGGGCATTTTGAATGACGTCAAAATCTCCTTGTGTGACCTTGATGTCAAAACGACCCTGACCTCGACCGCCCGCTCAGCCCAAGGCAGCGGCGCTCTGCACGTGTACGCAGTGCGGTAGGCGTGGGCCTAGGTTATCAGCAAGGCTGCCTAGAGTTTGACTGTTGGGTCGACTGACCCTGACCCAGCTAAAAGTACGTGGGGCACGCACGCACACACACGCAATCATATGGTGTACACACACACACACACACAGACATCCTTCATATTGGTTCCATACATAACACCTGGACGCCAGTATGAACGTTGTATATATACATTACCACATCTTAAAGTCGAAAAGCTTTGCCTACGTGCATGTGCGCACCTAGGATTTGTACGGTTGGCCAAGTACAACGATGCGAAAGAAGTTCACATACATACACCACTGCACTAGCCATCCCCTATGTTTACTAAGCCTTAAATTATTACAGGATGTGGTGTGCAAACATCAGCATTGGCTGGGTGTGATGCCGGCCACACCATTTGTTGTGTCATCCAGGCCTCAATAGGCACTCGCCGACATCACTTGCCCCGACACTCCATTGGGCTTGCTCGTGTCTTGGCTTAGGCATTTGTTCCACTCTCAGGCCATTAAAGGCAGGTATAGGATCTCCGCTGCTCACAAGCTGTTGGGCAATGTGATTACGCAAGGGTCACGCAAGGTTTATATTCTCTAAAAGGTCCTTCACAGCAAAAGGCTTGTGTGCATGAAGCTGCCAGCAGCGGAGAGAGGCAGATGTTCTTTTACCACAGGGTGAAGGGGCCGTAGGTGTGACTGACATCACACGAGGGCTTCACTGGTATAAAATATCTGCCACGAATGAGGTGTGTGCCGGTTGGGCACTCGGCGGCTTATCCTGCACTTAGACAAGGTTTAAATGAGACGTTTAAATGCAAACTGGGTGGGAGCGCTTCGGCGCTCGAAGAAGCTTTGGGGCGACGCTCGTCTCTGCTGACGACTCCAATTCAAGAGCAGAAAATCGGCTTGGGGGAAAACCAATGTCGATATCCAACAAACCAGCACCTGGCTTATTGACCGAGGAATAACAGATTGTGCAAAACACTACTAACTTTACGATTGTAAGTAAAGCATTGGTCACAAAATCGCCCAGAAAATATCCCAACACGAAGTAAAATGTTGTCATGTAAATCCTTCCCTGTGGCTCCATCGCTGCTTTCGGTTTCGTGGATGCGCTGCATAGCTCTACCGCAGCAGTTCCTAAGGAAGCTCCTAGTGTGTGAAGAGAGACGTCGCTCATCGCGCCACACACCACACGGGGCAACTCCAAAACAAATGGGAAAGAGCCGTTTGTGCACGTGCGTTGTGAATGTGCAGACATGCCAAGGATTATCACGCACCAAGATTCACCCATTCACAAGGAATGCGAGCGACTGGCAGTGGGCTAAGAAGACTACTGCTGCCACATACAGTCTTGACTTAAAAGTGGCCGATCCAATTGTTATTGTGGGTGAGACGAACTGCCCTTGCGGTAGGTGGGAGCGTGACAGTGCGCTGGGTCGGCCAGCCTGCCGCGTGTGTGAAGAAGTCGTTATTAAAGAACTTTATCAGCGTAGATTATGGTCCTGTCGCCACCACACCCTTTTTACGCAAAATAGCTCAAGCATCTATGTCACTCGTCTAGTACTTCATAATTTACAATTATGGGACAGAAAAACATCAAAAAAATTATGCAAGCAAAGTGACAAAAAGTTAAAGAATTCTTTTGATTGTGAAAATTCATCAAATCATAGCGATGGGAGGGGAATGGTTACATAGGGCAATCCAAACCTGTCTTAAATTACAAGAGGGAGCTCAGGATTTGAATGTTTTTTTCCCACTGCTGTTGGATCTGTGCTCACACACACACCCCAGGGGGACCCCCAGCCACTTCCACTCGTACATCAATCCCCTACACTGACATTTATAATCAAAGTCTCATATACATGTTGTTTGAGGCTCACGTTTCACTGGCATCATAATAAACACCGCTTTACTCTGCACACCAACAGCAGTTCAGGGTCAATTACATTTTGCAGGAGCAAGCACATCCTCCAGCAATCAGATTGTGGCAAAGATAAATATTTACAGAAAATTTTCAGTTGCACTTTATAACAGAAATGATCATTGAATAAACGCCGCACCGATAGCATGATAATATTTCCTTTCCCTTCAAGCTTTGCTTCATTTCGGATTAAACACTGGGGTGTTTCACACTCAAGTGAGCATGGGGAGATGCTGATCTTCGCTAGCTGGCCTGAAGCCAAGGATGGAAATAATAAATTAAGGATGGAAATTTCTCATTACCCTAACAAGGACCAAATCTCCACAGGTCGACCACTGCCGACTCACAATGTTTTATTTACTCCAGGAAAGGATGGACTAAATCGACTGCTGTCAATATTTTGGTCGTGCAAGAAGCACGATGTAACAAAAACGTGATTTGGCATTTGATAAAAGGATCGAATAATCGATTCAAATGTGCATCTACACTCACAATACATGTGTAGTGACTTTGGGGATGTCACTGTATGGTGCCAGCCCGGGAGGGCCGTGGCATGCGATGTTCCTACGTCGCAGACAGCACCGTGTGTTGCTGTGCGAGGCCGGCTCTAGCAGAGCACGGCGTGCGATGCACAGTCACCGCGTACACCCCGTAGGCGGGTGTAGTACCAGCCCTAGCGGGGCTTGGTGAGCACTGGGATAGCGCGGGCACCGCGCGTGGTGTGCAGTGCGGTCTCCCACAAGGGGGAGTGGGAGAGTGTCAGCCCAGGGACAGGGTTGCCCCGGGCCATGACACTCTGGTTGACCCCGTAGGCATGTGATCCGGAGTGTCCATAGAGAGGCCCCCAGGTGGGGGGGGCTAGGGGGTGATCACGTGTCCGGGGGGAGCTCTCGAGAGGGATTGAGAGGGACCTTAGAACGCTCTCGGCCCCGACCCGGGAGGGACCGGGGTCTCTCTTCGTTCTACAAGCTGGAAGCTCCACGTCCACGAGCTGGGAGCTCCACATCCACAAGCTGGAAGCTCCACGTCCACAAGCTGGAAGCTCCACGTCCACGAGCTGGAAGCTCCACGTCCACGAGCTGGAAGCTCCACGTCCACAAGCTGGAAGCTCCACGTCTACAAGCTGGAAGCTCCACGTCCACGAGCTGGAAGCTCCACGTCCACAAGCTGGAAGCTCCACGTCTACAAGCTGGATGCTCCACGTCGACAAGCTGGAAGCTCCACGTCAACAAGCTGGAAGCCCCACGTCTACAAGCTGGAAGCTCCAGTCTACAAGCTGGAAGCCCCACGTCTACAAGCTGGAAGCCCCACGTCTACAAGCTGGAAGCTCTACGTCCACAAGCTGGAAGCTCAACACCTACAAGCTGGAAGCTCTACGTCTACAAGCTGGAAGCTCCACGTCCACAAGCTGGAAGCTCCACGTCCACAAGCTGGAAGCTCCACGTCTACAAGCTGGAAGCTCCAGTCTACAAGCTGGAAGCTCCAGTCTACAAGCTGGAAGCTCCAGTCTACAAGCTGGAAGCTCCAGTCTACAAGCTGGAAGCTCCAGTCTACGAGCTGGAAGCTCCACGTCTACAAGCTGGAAGATCCACGTCCTATGTCTGAAGAGGCACCAACACGTGGCTGGGAACCCGAGCGAGGGTCCGACCCTTCGTAGCTGTAACTCCTACGTATAGTGTAGTTAGCTGGGTGGTCACCACCCTAGGCTGTATCTGGCCTGTCTTTGTATATACGTGTTATGAATAAATGTGTTGCCTCTGAAGAATAACATCTGCAACGCAGTTGGACTCACGAAACATGCACTGAATAGAGTACATGTACGAGTAGATTCTTACATGATAATTCATATTCTTGGTTCTTTCGATCAAGTCACGTAAATAGGAAAACTAAAAATCTAAAAATTAAAAAAAAATTCTAAATAAAAAATTAACATAATAAATTGCGAT